AATTTTGAGCTACATCAATAATGGATGTATGTAATCATAGGTAAAAGAGCTTTTATTTCTCAAGTTCCAAATTTTTGTAGATAATAAGAAGTGAAAAAAAATTTTATGTAAATTTTTAGTGGAGAAAGCAATAGTAAAAAAGGTGAAGAAAGAAGAACAGAATAAAAGAAAAAAATGAGAGAGATAACAATAGAAAAATGACATGGAAAAAAATTGATGTGGTAGCAACATACGTGGCAACCATGTCATTTTTCCATCACTTTTTTGGATGGAATATGTTAGAGTGACTAATTTTGAGATATTTAGTAAACTTTTGTGACTTTTTAACTAAGGATAAATTAAATTTTAGTAACCTAAATGGGATTAATATAAAAGTTAGGTGACTTTGGCTTAAATTTACTCAATTTTTTTCTCTTATTATTTTTCAACCCAACGAAAACTTTTTTTTTCTCTAGATGGTTATTCACACTTTATTTTTTTAATTTGTTTATTTTGACTTAGGTTTCTAAATTACTTTTCTTTCTTTTTTAAATTTTAATGATGAATGATGTTTCTGCCCCAAACCTTAAATAAAAAAAAGCCAACCAATTAACAAACATTTGAATAAAATAATAAAGAAATAAAATAAATAAAAATGTTATAAAATTATAAAAATTAATATTATTTCACATATTGTGACTATAGTTTTTTGCTAATTTTTATACTATATTTTGAGAGTTGTATTTTTATTAATAATTTGATCAAGTGTATGATTTTCAATTCATTGTAGTTTATAAACTTTTTGTAAAAATATTTAAAAGAAAATAAAAAAATTTAATTTTTTATTATGTCTTTTTATATTTATATTTATCACATTATATTTTTTAATTTTTGTTTTATTATAGTAATTTAATATGTAGCTAAGTTTTATGTAATTAATTTAATGTTTAATGTAATAGGGATATTATAATAATTTTCATAAAATACACATGTCAATTCTCAATAAAGTAATAATAAGGATATTTTAATAATTTAATATGTAGTTAATTTTATACTACGTTAAAATTTAATAAAGGTAATATAATACATTTCAAACAAAACGCCACATAACAAATTTCTATAGAGCAATGACAAGAGTATCTTAGTAATTTAATATGTAATTAATTTTATATTATATTAAAATTTAATACTTAATTTAATAAGGATATTATAGTAATTTTAGATAAAAATGTTACATGTTAATTTCCTATGAAGCAATTACAAGGGTATTTTTATAACTATGATACAAAAGACATTATAATAATTTTGGTCAATTATAGTAATAAAAGCATTTTCGTAATTATGATAGGAGAATATTATAATAATTTTGATCAATTATGATAAAAAAAATATTTTCATAATTATGATAAAAAGAGTATTATAATAATTTAGCCAAAAAAGCTTCTATTTACACCCCTAAAATTACTTTCTAAATCTTGTTACTTTTCACACTCTATATTCAAAACTTAAAAAATATTTTTTTCATTACACCCCTAACCACATTTCTTATTTTCCCTAAATACCCCTCCCGCCTATTTCTCCATTTCCTTTTTTCTTTTTTTTGATTCAACCTAAATCTTTAAAACCTAACCCTAACCACAAAAATCATCCTAAAAACTTCAATCTAATGTAGAGTAAGTCAATCAAGCCACCAAGCTTCAATTTAGAGTAAATTGCATGTGATTTTTTTTCTATTTTGGTAAAATGTTGATTAAGTTTAAATATGATATTAAATTATTTTTAGAGTGAAATAATTAATTCCAATTTTTATTTTCTCGAATTTATATTTTTGAAAGCATAATTTTTTTTTCATGTTTTTGAAAATGCAAATCTAAAAGGTTTCATAAGCTTTTGGAAATACAAATCCGAAAACTTGTAAACCCCAATCCTTAAATCCCAAACTCTTCATCCCATTGATTTTCTTTCTCCCTTAGGTATCAAATTTTACAATACCCTAGATAAAATTGTAGTTTTTATGATCTAAGAATTATGATAAATATGAGTGTATGAAAAGAAAAGAAAAGAAAACCATACAAGAAAAGAAGAAGAAAAGAAAAGAAAAGGAAAAAAAAGAATAAAAATAGATATAGTACTGAAAAATAATTTATCAAAGGTATATTAAATAATTTTATTTAAAAATATTTTTGTAATAAAAATTGCAATGTAGGGAGCAATTGTTTCTCCCTTAAGCCAATTAAGAGAGGAAGAGCATCCATAATATTAATTTTACTCATTTTAACCCACCTTTAACCTTAAGGCTATTCACGTGCATCTTCTCATTAGTTCTTTTTTTTTGTTCTTTCTGTTTCCTTCTAACTATAAAACCTCCAATTTTTTTTTTCATTTTTTTTTTCCCACTTTCTCTCTCTAAACTCATCACTCTTTATTTCTCTCTCTACAAAAAATGGTAGCTCCTGCATTCCCTCTTTCCATCGTCAGCTGGTGCTCCTCAATCGCCGATCGCTACTTGCTAATGACGGAATTTCATAAAAATAACCTGCAAACTCCTCTAGATCCTCTAATCACATCTATTGGGTTGGATTTTTCAAAATCAAGCCGAAAATGTGTAGATCCAAACGTTAATATCACGATTTCAAATAAAAAAAAAAAAAAACTCCATTTCTACAATCTAAAACCATAAAAAATTTTACTATGTTACTATTCTCCCCTTACTTTTTGTTTCCACCAATTTAGATTTTCCAACAATTCCAAGATTTGTTAGATTTGGGTTGCCTGGGGTTGGTTTTTTCAGATTTCATTTTCACTTTTTTCTCTCATTTTTTTATTTCATATTTAACATCTTAAGTTTTTTTTTTTTTTTTTTTTCAAGTATTGATATAAGATAAAAGCAGATGAAGTGAATGGTTTCACCTCCAAGTAATGTCTTATTTTCATCCCTATGGTACAGACAAAATTATGAACACTTTCATACCTTATAAGTCTTAGGTTTCAAAGGGAAGAGAACATGCTGGTCTATGAGTACATAGTTAATAAAAACTTGGACTCTTTTATCTTTGTTTAGCAACAGTTGCTCTCTTGTTTCTTCAACTGCCAAATTTTGTGTTTATGTCTTTAATGCATTTTATCTAATTAATGGATAAAAAAAAGAATCCATTAGATTGGAGTAAATAGTTTAGCATTATTGAAAGGATAGCTCAATGATTACTTTATCTTCATAATTACTTTGAACTCAAAATAATTAACAGAGATTTGAGAGCAACTAACTTATTGCATGACAAGAACATGATCTCCAAGATATCAGATTTTGAGATGACAAGGATTTATAAAACAAATGAAGCTTAATCAAATAATAATAGGATTGTTGGCACATAGTAACTTAGCTATTGTTATAGTCATATTTTATGAAAAAGAATATGGTTGTTAACTGTATTGTGGATGAATGCATCGGTTACATTTCTCCAGAATATGCACGGAATGGTATATTCTCTATAAAATCTGATATTTACTGTTTTGGAGTTATGGTGTTGGAAGTTGTCGATGGCTAAAAGAACACCAGCAATTTTCATTTTGGCTGTTAATGTTGTATCACACGTAAAGAACTCTCACATGTTCGTGGGTCAACTGAGTGTTTGGGACTATAGGTTTTGAAATTAGTTCTAACTTTTAGCGTTTCAACATATTTTCTTGACATGTTTATTAATCTTTTGCATTTAATATTCTTTTCCAAATAAATGCAACTATAAACTTTAGAAATTCTGGCATGTCTACCTTTAATGATAATGGCAAATGTGTTGGTACTGCATTTCAATCTTTTGAACATGAAGATGAGGAAAATATTAGGTATGTCACCAATCATAATGCTCTTCATTCAAGATTATAAAAATAATAAGACATATAAGTATTAGTCCAAACAGAACTCATTTTATTTAAAGTTCAATCCTTTTATCATTATTGACTCTCTTTCTACTTTGTTTATTTTGGAATTAGAAAGTGGTTTGACACTTTGATTTCAAGTATTTCATTTATTGGGCTTGAATTTTAGGGGGTGATAATGAAATGAAGGAAGCATTGGGATGACAATGTTTTTCATCAACTGGATGAAATAAAGGTTAGGAAGCTGGCTACAGAGCTTTAGTTGGGTGTACCTCTAAAGTTCAACCTTAAACCCTATCAACCTATGGCTTGCTGATATATCTCCCGTTTATGTAAGATTAAAATTTTTGGATTGATCTGATTTTTTTAATAAAATAAATAGGCATTGTGGTTTCTAAAAGAGATAGGTCCCCATCTTTTTTATAAGCTAACAAGGGTCAGATTTTTATCAACTTGGTTTATTTTTTTAAAAGTACTAAGGGGGATGGCTAAATTTATGGTCAGTCCAATCTTTAACAACATCATTTTTCAATTTTGTTTGTCTTGGTGCTTATCTTCACTGTATATATCTGCAATATCTCAACGTACATGTCATGTTTATTGGAGTTTAATACTTCATTTGGTTGAAGACAAAATCATTTGTCAAGGAAAGCTGAGAAAAAGTGAGGATAACAGAAAAATACTATGTACAAATATTAATGTTATGACTTGGGATTAGAGATTGCCATCTGGGAAGCAGAGGCAACCTATTTGCCTTCTTTTCACATTGTCAATGTATCATATAAATGTATGTTATTTAATTATTGTCGTTGTACCTTATGAACAATGCCACTTAGCTCTTATGCTCCTTCTACGTTTGAGGACTTTAACTTTATATTACACTACTTTTATTTTGTCACAAACGTTTATGTAAATATAATTATCATAATTTTTTTTCTATTACCAATTATATATTTGATTTTCTTGATTGTTCTGTTATAACTGTTTTTAGTGTTAAAAAAAAAAAAAAAAAATGCACCCGCAACATAGCACACGCACGATGCTAGTTATAATAATTTTGACCACATCTCAACCTTTTATCGAGCAATCAACTCTTTATCAAGCAATCAGAGGAGCATTATAATAATTTCTTTGAAGATTTCTTCCAATATATTGGATAGATGTAAAGATGTGCTTAAGGGAAGAACCTTTGGCAGGTTTTAGATACTCAAGGAAGCAGTTGGAGCTGAATAAAATTATTGGTACAAGGCAGATGGCCTCTCAGTACATAGTGCAGCAAGATGGGAGCTCAGAATATGTTCAGTGGCTTAGTTTGGAATGAAATTAGGACGAGACAGCAGAAGGTTGGGTGGAATTATTGAACGCCCTCAAGCCTCTCTAAAATACCAATCTTCTCTAAGTACATCTCTTCCTTCACAATCATGCTACTCAGGAAATTGAAACCAGATGTTTATCGGCTACCATACTTCGCGAGATCATTCAACAAAAACAATTCAAGCAACCTCACTGCAATTTCATAGCTTGCTGTAAGATGATAGCCTGCTTGTCTGAAAGGTGATATTCAATCCAGATTCTGGCAATGCAACCTCATTTACAGCTGCTTCAGTTATCAAGAAGTACAAAACTCAATATTTTCACACATTGGCTGCTAGATAAAAGCACACCCAACCAAGAGGAATCCCCAACATATAAATCTAAGAATAAACCTTTATGGTAAATATACAACTCGCTAAATAATATACAGATTTCACGGATGATTGCTTAACTAGAAAAGGGTATTACTATTACATGGAAGATAATAAACAAACAATCTTCAAACCTAGGAAAAGATCATTATCGGCACTTCCCTAAAAAATATAACTATATATAATAAATGATTTAAAAGCTCAAACTATACCTCTGACTCACAAAGAATGCTTTATGATGTATTTCACAGTAGGTTGGATCATTCTTTCATCTTCAATCAATGCTGGCAAATACAATGGACAAGCTGCCATTGGTGGACGAAAATGGAATCTTGCCATTCATCAGTGGACATACTGCAATGTAGGTCAAATAACTTTATTTCTCCAGATTCAAACATTCATCAAAGATTTTACTGCTTGCACATTCATGCAGAGCCTTTGCATTGAGTTCTCTACCGTGTCTCCAGACATAATTCAAACCAACAAGAATCTCAGTGATTGCTTCTTCTGTCTTTTCTCGACTTGCAAAGTAGAGAGTCTGCACCAGAAGCACATTTGTCCTGGAAACAAAGTTCTGCTGTTCATAACTCCGTTCAGATTGCCATCTAATCATGTTATGAGCTAGTGGCGCCAACCACTCTAATATGGCGGACATTTCCTCAGTCCACTCTCCTGCAAGCTCTGTATTATAAACTGATGAAGCTAAGCTCTTTGCATATGGTTTTAGCCTTACCCTCAGTGCAGCTCTCACACTTGTAGGTAACATGCTGTACAGATCATTTCTAGCATCATGACCAATCAAGTGAGGAGATGCTGCTAACTTCTCAATGACAATGATAACATTTGCATAGTGCAGTGCTAAAGCAGAAGCACCAAGAGTTTCAAGCGGAGCATCCAACAACCTGCGTTGAGATCTAAACACTGATGAACTAGTTTGAACAGCATTTCCTTCAGGAAGATTAACATTTCCGTCTTTGACTCCATTAAAAATTCCTGAATGAATGCCATTTGAACTTATATAACAATTTCTGATGGTAGCACCATTGGCATCTATCATGCATCCTTTAAAAGGTCCCACTTGAGTTAATTTGTTGCTTTTCAAATGTGGTTTCTTTCTGTTAACAGCAGCTTGGTGGTTGTCAGTCCGCCAAATCCTCTTGCTGATTTTATCCATTCCAAAAAGTGGTCCTGACTTTGCTGTAGACCTTCCAAGCGGACCTGAATGGAAGTTGAAATTTCCATTCTTTCCAGCAATAGAGCATGATTTTGTGGCCAAGCCACCAAGAGGCCCAGAATGGAAATAAATTGTTTTATTTGGTTTTGAAATTGGGCCTGATTTAGTGCTAGAAATTCCAAAGGGGCCTGAAGAAAATCTGGTAAGGCCAGTATTCTCGGTTGGATGAACTGAAGATTGCATTAGGGCAGAAACTGATTGGCTGCGATACATAAAATCTGAATTCGTCACTCTCGAATCTCCATCATCTACATTTTGTTCAATTCCAAAGACATGTTTAATCCTACCATATATTGTGAATATTGATCTTGCCAAGAGACGAATTGTATAATCATAAGTCCTATTCCAAAGAGACATCTCCCGCAAACTCTTCACTTCATGCTGCTTCCACTTAACCTTCTTCTGGAATTCAAGCAAACTCTCTGTCTCTGTATCACCACTTTTCATCCTCCTTAGAGTTTGCTCATAATCAGCAAGGATTTCCATCACTTGATATAAAGTTGCATTCACCGAAATAAAACGTTCCATCTTCTTCACTTTCTTGTCCATCTTCTTTGATGAAAATATCCAACCATAAGGATCAGCACCAATCTGGACCAACTCAGTGAACACAAGTCCAAAACTCTTCAAACCCGGATCACTACATTTCTTCGCAAGCCTAGCCACTGTCTCTGACATATGTGTAATATTTTCAATCATTTCTGCACATATCAAGCGTCCAATGTAGTCTTCATCTTCAGATACTAGTTTCTTAATCCCCACAGAAGTCGTGATCTCTTCTCTCAACCTAATAACCTGCTTATCACTCAGACACTGCCATAGATGCACAAGCTTAGACATCAAGCTCGCAACTTCAAACGCTAATACTCCAATTTCAACCCTCTCAGAGCCTCCATCATGCTTCCGAGGAATTTTCCAAAGACTATGAAACCAAGATTCTGCTACCATCTTTTTATCCGAAAAGTTCTACATAAAAACACAAAATTGAAGACAGAATTATTTTTAAAAAATAGCCCAAAGATCAGCATCTCCATAGATTTTGTATTTAAAATTCTAAAACAAGCTAAAGATCAACCAATCAGACTATATCATCAACATACAAAAAGAAAAAACACATAATTTTAAAAATAACTTAATCACTAGAGATCATCTTAAAAAGTAACAATTTGCAGTCAAAATTGATTTCCTCTAAACTGTTTTCTTTTTCTTTTTTTTTTTGTTAGATTATAACTCAATAGAACTATCCAATTACAATTTACAGAGAAAAACTCAATTAAAGTAAAGGTTAAAATTTTACAAAGAGAGGCTTATCATGATTGATCAATTAACCAAAAAAGTGTAAATAAAATTCAAAAGCAGCCATGCTAAATGAAGAAAGCAAATAAAATCATAGAATCCAAGGACTAAAAAAAAGAAACTTACCCAAAGATTCCAACCATCCAAACACACTAACCCAGAATTCCAAACAGAATAAAACCCAAAACCCAGAAAGAAAAAACAACCAAAATCAAAGAAAAGTGAAGTAAAAAAGAATAAAAACTTACCGATCGCATGAAGTGGTTAAAGAACACTCAGTTTCAGAAGCTGAGAAGGAAGAAAAATGGGAAATGAAAGGAAATTGAAAAGACAAAGTGAGGCAGTAGCTGGGAAGATGCAGTATAGGCTAAAGGAGCCACATGGGGTTCTGCTTCATTTGTTTTTTCTACAAAAGTCAGTAATTGCGAAAAAGACCAAAAGCGAAGCCAAGTGAACATTGAAGTTTATAATCTCATTTTTAATACTCGCTTCACTTTTTCATATTTCTTCTAACAACCCATGATTTACACATTTTCCCACTTTTACACCTTCATTTAAATTGACTTTTTAATTTTTGCCAAAAACTCATTTTTTATTAAAATTTAAGAACTTCACAAACAAGTTTAATTAATTTTTCATTTTTCAAAAATTTCTAATAAAGCTAAAGAAAATGGTAGAAAGTAAAATTAGTTAATTATGATATAAAATAATAAAAAAATTTAAAATATAATACTAAAACTAACAATTGTGGATTCAAAAAATTCTTTTAAATGTTTACTTAAATATAAAAAAATTGTCGATAAGTTTATAAGTTTTTATCATGAAAATAATGTCCTAGAAAATTTTTTGGGTATTTAAGAAAATTTTTCCATAAATTTTTTTTTAATTTTGAAAGTGTCTATGAACTCTAAGTATTAAATGTGGATCCGTTCTTGAAACTAAATCTACTTTTGTTGTTTTGTTCTATTTAAAAGTAAAAAACATACATTTTATTTTTAAAAATGTACAATTTAAATTTCAATGATAAATAATGTTATTTCTTTTTTTTTTTTGAGAACCCATTTTTTACCCTTTTCCCAAAAAAAAAATCTAAGTATAAAAATAACAACTGTACGGAGCAATAAAATATTTAATTAAATAAATACATGATAAGTATATCAACCTGCGTGTAAAATTTTGAAACTCGTATGGATAAACATGATTGATGATAATCTTATTTTAAATTCGTTACTATTTTTTTTTCTTACACCTTTTTGCAAGTGGATAAGATTTGGAGGAGAAAAGGCAAGGTCGCCATGGTGACCATGATGTGCATGCATGCCAACGGCTGCATAGCTTTTAGGTAGGATTTTTAAGTTTTAGGTTTGACGATCAAATTCTAATTTAAAGATATAAATGAACAAAATATTTAATGTATAATTAGTAAATAATTTAAATTTTTATTTGTTTATATTTATTTATTAAATTTAATAAATAATTATATGATATTTTAAAATTTGTTAATAAATTAACATATTATGAATGCAATAAAATTTATTTATATTCAATTCATTTATATCAAAGGTGTAAACAATTATGGATCTTAATCTTTAAATCTAAAAGATCAAAGTAATATTTTATAATAATTATTTTAAAAATATTTCAAATCTATTAATAACAAAAAATAAATGCAAATTATAATTACAAAACTTATAATTATAAGTATGCTAATATGTACATATATATATAACAAAATAAATATATTAAATAATTAATTTTATGATTTTTAATTATAAATCACTAACACTATTCTTTATAAAAATAAAATCATTATATTTTTTTACAATATTAACACATGATTTTATCATATTTAATATTAAAAATATTAAAGTGAAAAAATCACAAAAACATATATTTTTTAATAAATTAAATTTTAAAACAATAAAAAAAGGCTTTGATATGATAAATAAAGAAACTTCTAATTTTTTACATGATGTTCTTACATTATAAAAACGAAAATTATTTGGACTAATTATATTAATTATTTTAACATGTAACAATTTTAAAATAAAATGAGCATGTAAAATATAATAAAAAACTGATTAAAAAAAATTACAATTGGATATTTGTCAAGTCTGTTTTAGTTATTATAATCCTTTTGTATATTAAACTTAAATTTACATATTTGTGAAAATATTGTATTGACAAATTTATTATTTATTTTAAATTAAAAATTATTTATAATAAGTAAGCACAAGTTAAAGAATTATAATTTTTTGAAATTAAAAGTTATAATATTTAGATATAAATAACTTTTATAATCATATATCTAATATAAATACATAGAATAAAGAATAATATATATCAACACATTAAATTAAAGTTTGAGGGAGCCAAACTAGTTTTCTTATAAAAAAATTTTAAAATTATTGTGAAAATAACATATGTATAAAAATTCAAAATTACTCTTTAAAGGATCCCTCAATGGGTGTAAACAAACAAAGCTGATGATGAATAGTTCATCAATAAACTATTAAATTTAATAAATAATTACGAATAATATTTTAAAATTATTAATTAAATGAATAAATCATCAATAAAACAAAATTTTTTTTATATTTTTATATATTTAAATTTTGATAATTTTAAATATATAACGAAATAACGTGCACGTATGGATGAAAAATTGTTAGTTATCTTAAAGGATATGAAGAAGTAAAAAAAGAGAGGTAATGTTGGATATGATTGAACAATTTATGTTGTTTATTGCTTCCTTTGAACTCCAAAAGATTAACTTTAAAGCTTTCCTTTTTCAAAAAGTTACGACTGCAAATTGGTAGGGAAGGAATTAAAGTGTCATTTAAAAGATTTTTGACTTCACACCTAAGTATACACTTTTTCTGTACGCAAATGTTGAGCTTACCGACTTTGTTCATTTTTTTAGTATCTTAGTAACTTCTTTATGGTATCATATAATTTGGTTGTTGATTTTTTTTTTTAATGAAATTACCCTTTACTTTCTTGTAGATTTTAAATACAACTCCTTTTATTGTTTATACAATTTAAATGTGATACTTAATTTCATAAAATTCTTGTTTTAATTAGACAATATAAATATTTTTTTGTTAAAAATATTTTTAAAATACGAAGAATTGATTAAAATAATTATGTTACTTATTTTATGAAATAAGAAATCAAAATTAAATGAAGCATGAAACAAGCTTGGAAGCTAGATAGATAGAGTTAGATTTGAAGTCCTAGTTAAGGCATTCGAATACCCTTAAAAGAGTATTTGAATACTACTTTTCTGTTTAAAAAAAGGAAAAAGGAAAATCTAACTTGAGCATTCTAATACCTTATTCAAGGCATTCGAATGCTATTATTCTATTTGAGAAATTAAGGTTGGGAATTCGAATGCTATAACATAGGTATTCGAATACTGACTTTCTGTTTGCATTTTAGAAGCAAAAATATAAAAAAGGTAATCAAATGCCCATATAAGGTATCCAAATGCTCTAGTATGAAAATCATAATTTTTCAAAAAAATTAATGAAAGGTTTCTTATGGATAAAAGCATGATCCTTCATATAATGATCATTCACATGAATAATTATATCTGTAATTATTCAGAAAGGTGTCTTTTGATAAAAGAAAAGTGTTTGTTAATTGAAATAATTAATTAAAGAGTCACAACCTTAAAATTTAATCTTTATAAATAAAGATTATGAGATTTCAGTTAAATATGATTCAAGCAGTTTAAAAGATTGAATAATTCATAAATCCTCTTTTCTTTTACATATTTTTTCTCAAATAAAGACTAATAACTTTGACATTATTTCTGTAAAAATTAATATTCAAAGTTAGATGTTTTATTCTTATCTAAGGGATATTTAGTGATTTGATATCACAAGTGTAAATCTTGAAGAAATTTTCATTATATCTCTTTTGCATTAATAATTGATAGGGACGAAATAAACCTTAAAAAAAAGTGGCATTTGCCACGCGCCTTGAAATTATTTTTTTTATTCTTTTAAAGTTTCATTTTAGAATCAACCAAGGCTTAGAAGAGAATAAATAATTGAAGTCACAAGAGGAAGATCATCATCAATTGTAAGTTTGTGAAGATTGTGTAAGTCTTGGATTTCTAACATTTTCATATTTTTGGCATGTCTAATTTTTTGATAAATTTTAAAAACATACTCTTTCACGTTAATTTAATACTTTCAGGATTTTATTTTTTAAAATACTTTTCACAAACATATTGAATCATGTTAATAAACATAAAGAAAGAGACTCATCCTCTAATTACCAGCTAAACTGACTCAAGAGGTTCATGAAATTTTTTTTCCTCAAATTTGATTTACCATTATATTTTTAACAAATAATAAAATGTTATTTATATTTTATTTTAAAATAAAATAATAATTTAAGGTTTATATTTTCATATTATTTTCTTCTTTCTTAACCAATTTAAGATTGTAGACACTAAAGAATATTTAAGGCAAGTTAATTTGTTTAAAATTTTAATACCATCAAGTAAGAAAATAATTATATTATTTATATTAATAATGTGAAATTTAATATAAATTTTTATTAGATATTGAATGTTAGGTACAAAAATACTATCTCTTTCTATGTAATCCTTAATAATTAAATGTAACAAATGTTTATTTCTTTCAAATATAATATACTTTTTTCATAAATAACAATTGCTTAATTAACAACAATTGTTTTTGTTTTACTTTTGTAGTAGTTAAATTGGATAAAAAAAAACTTGAGCTTAAAACTTTTTTTTAATACAAAAGAAATAATAGTTTGTAGATAAAAAAAATACAATGTAAATTTTGAATTTCAAATATATTAATATTATATTTTAAAAATAATTATGCGAAATCAATTGATTTAAGTCATAATTCTTAAAATTTCTTTTTCAAAGTTGAAGACAAAGATATGTTAACTACAATCTTCGGTCCTTTTCAAGTTTTGTATTCATTGGTCAAAAACAAGTTTAATGTCGTAGAAGATTATACCATACGTCCAAATATAAACCAATTAAATATAAACCAATTATCAATATATTTTGTTAGCATATCATTTTCACTTACATTTGTTATTTCACCCCTTTGAAATTCATGCTCTTAATTTCTTCATATGAGAATATTTGAGAGGAGTCAAATCTAATTGTTTATATAAAGCAAATATAGCAGTTAATTTTATACAATTTAATAACAGCAATAGATTAAATCAAAATTATCGTATTATTATTATTATTTTTTGGTTGAGAAAGTTATCTTACTGTTTAATTAATGTAAAATATTTTTTAAAATACTAAATTTAATAAGGATTTTTCAAACAATCATTAGAAATTTGAAATAAAAAATAGGTTTTTTGGTATCAATTTTAAAACCATATATTATTAATATAAAATTTATAGGAACTAAAATGAACAAAATTTAAATGGTTTGGCAACAAATGAAAATATTTTGTTTTTAAAGAAGGCCTAGAATCAAAATCCAAATATTGGAAACAGTTAAATAATAGAATAGAATCAAATCTAAGGACATATATGAAAATTTCCCAAAAAGAAGAGAGCCGTCGCGATCATTA